ATATATATATATATATATATATATATATATATATATATATATATATATATATATATATATATATATATATATATATATATAACACATGAAACGTTATTTTTTATTATTAAATCACTTTTCAACATATGAAAACTTTAGTGAGTATAATGTTGAGGGTCATCATACTTGTTCAAATTGTGAAAAAAAAAAACACAAGTTATGTGCGATTGAAACAAAAAATAAGACAATTTATAATAGATATAGGAAAATTTTCTTATACACACCCATATTGGAGATTAAAAAAAAAACCTCTAATAGTTCTCACGAGAACAAAGTTTCCAAAGTTCTTTTAATTTATGAATAAGTTCATTAGCCGGATTAACACTTTCTTTGAAAAGACTAAAAAAAGTAATGAAAGAAAAGGTTAATATTCTAACATTCTATATTTGTGACATCTTGATATAAGACAATGTATGAATGCTATGTGAAAAAAAAGTGTTTTAGTCTCATTGACACACTATTAAACATTGAAGGCAAGATAAAATCATTTTGAAATAGAAATACCATAAGGTCCAAGACTTAAGAATAAGAAAAGATATATTCCACCAATATATCACCCTTTATTAAAATAAAAGAAAAGTTTATGTCAATATGTAAATGTATCTAGTTGAGTCATATATGAAGGTTTTAAAATGGTATAAAAAAATCCACATTAACCGAAAGCACCAATAGTTAAAAAAGATATATTATAAAAGAAGTTAGAATTGTAATTACTAGACAAAAATACATCCAACAAGAATGCCTACTTATATTTAAAGGTGATATTGTGGACTAACTCATCACATTTTAAGTATAACTTTGAAAATAATTATTCAAATATTAAAAAATTATAAACATATAAAACTCTTTGATTGATTGACTTTATAAAAATTTCTTAGATATACTCCAGGTAAATTAATAAAAGAATCATATTTTAACTTCTTAAAAACGAATTATTTTCCACAATTATTCTCCTTCCAATCTCTTTAGTCACAATTAGAAGTGTAAAAAATGTTGACTAACTGTTTTCCGTCGCTGTTGTGAAAATGGATAACTAACAAGGTACGAAAGCTACAGAGATACTCATAATTTGCTTTACTTTATATAGCAAATTACCTGCTCAACACGGCCCACCCATACTTTCTGGATAAGTTTAAACTTTTTCCTAAACTTTGCTTTCAACTTGAATAAATTAACTCTCTAATCTATTCATTTTTTTGGTAACTTTTCTTTACACGACAAAATAACACGAAGAAGAAGGCGGCCATTAAAAAATTAAATAGGTGCTTATATGAGGATCATGTCATCATTTTCAAAATCCCATTTAAAGCTGTCTTTCAACAAAATCCCCCTACCATAAAATCAGCATAATATAATTGCATTTACTGACGTATGCTTAGATTATTCTATGTAATTATAAATTAATAACGTGACGATACTTTACAAGTGTAGTACACCGAATTTGAGTGTATGATATACATTTGTTGGACTTTCAGGATACATTCTCAATCTTTAAGAACGGAAACAATAGGTGTGATCTTACTCTGGCAATTTTGGATAGGCTAACACCACATAGGAATGCAAAGTATATGTGTAAGTGTAAGAATAATGAAATAGTAAAAAACGTATTTTTTTTTCTAACTATAAAGTAGTAGGAATCCCATGTTAAAAAAGAAAATTAACGAAAAAAAAAAACAAATAAAGGAAAACTAAAGAATCATGTACACCAGAATTCTGAAAAGTAAAAATTTCTTAAGACAATGAACAAAACCAGGACTATTTCATTACTGTCTGGTCTCCAAGATCATCTGTTTCGTGGATGGAAAATCTCAATACGTTATTGCTTCATTTAGTTCCTTGCTAGACCACCTCATCCTGGTTTATTGAGCAGTGTCATTTTTTCTTTTTTACTTTCTCTATTCTAGTCTATTGAGGGAATCTCCTCATCATAGCTTTAAGTAGTTGAAGATGTCTGTTCTTGAGGGGATTCTACCACTTCTGTCCCAGGTACTGTTCCGGTGACTAATCCTTTTCAATAAACAACAACCTTAAAGTTAGTCAAGATTAAGGAAATTTTAGTCGAAACAAAAAATTGTTGCATTGTTTAGAGTTCAGATACTGAACCAGTGGTGGGAATTGAGGGAGAGGATGAAATAGGCTCTGAAAAACCAACAACTGTGAGCTCCTGAGACGTGTCTGGTATGACCTTTTTCACATAGGTTGTTGGAATAATCTGTCTGCCAAGGCCATAAAAGGGCTGGTAATATGCTGGATACCAGCGGAGGGGAAACGGCTGTCCACCATATGCATTATTGTAGTTCTGTATAGAACAACAACATAACTCAAAATTCTGAGAATATTGGACACAGTTTAATCCCTACTCGTATAATATATATAAACCCATATGAATTGTAACGATCGTGAACAAGTTTGGTGACATATAGCTTTCTAGCAATTCAAAGTTGGTTGAAAAGAAAAGCTACTTTATGAGAAAACTAACCATTTCATACAAGTCTTGTGGGTGAGTAAAACCAGGATACCTGAATGTTGGAGCAAAATGGTCACTTAGAATGACGATAAATTTGTAAGTATAAAAACAACTCACTCTCACACGTTTGAATCGCACACCTGTAGGTTGGATAGGGAATTGGGTAGTGAGGTATGTGTTGATTGTAATATGTGGAGGTGCCTTGCAATGGGACTGGTGCCATATTCCATGAAGGGCTACTGAATTTTTGTCTTCCTGAAACATTTTAAAGAGTGAATATGCCACAGAGGAGGTTTAAAACTTTGAAACGTTATTAGCCACCGTGAGGATGGTTTGCATGCAAGGAATATTGATCAAATTTGCATAATCAAGTAAATTTAGGACTTAAAAAAAAAATGAAAGACCTAACCTGTTGTGGATGGATCAAATTTATGGGCACCAAGGGCTGCAAGGTTACAATTAGCTCTCCTTCCATCAATCACAGGATAGGGATTGAGACAAGCCCTTGATGCAGAATTTGGGTCCCTAAAGGTGACCTAAGAAACAGAAAGCGAAAGATATTAGAGTGAAAGGAATCAAGAGGAAAAACAGGTAGTGCTGAAAGAGTAGATAAGTGGGTTTTACAAAGCCATATCCTTTTGATCTTCCAGTGATTCTATCGGTGATGACAACCGCCTCTAAGATCTCCCCAAACTGATCAAAATAGCGTTTCAGAGAGTCTCTCTTTGTCTCCCAGGCCAATCCTCCAACAAAGATCTTAGTATAGGTTGTGTCACCAACTTGTTTTCCAAGGTTTGGACTCATCATCTTGTTTTGCCTTGGCTGTGACATCTGAATTCAATTCAATTCACTAAACCCTGAAACGAAGGCTTAAAAGACAGTGTAAAAAACGGACAGGATCCCAGAAACAAGATTAGAAACAGGATCAAAAAGTCAGAGTAGCCGTTTGTTTGGTTGTTTAGCATGAACAGTGAACAATCAATCAAATCAATGCTCGAGAAAATCTTCCACCAACTGGTGCTCTAGTGATTCTCGTTTATTATGGAGAGAAAAAAATCCTTGATTTTCGTACACAAACGTTTCCTCAGATTCCACGACGAAGATTCCCTTAACAAGAAAGTTAATCAACAATCGAAGAATATAGGAAATAAAAACAGAGCGAAACAGGGGAAACGGGGAAACAGGGAAAGAAAAGAAAAAGGAAATTACACTACAAAATCCAATTATTTATTCGTGCAATATTTTTATTCATGTCATGATATATAATAAAAGAGTAACTTAGAAAGTAGGAAAAAGGACCATAAAACAACAGTACTGTGAATATTTGGTATGTGACAATTCGTATTTTTAATTATAAAATTGAGTGAATAAAAGGTAGTAGTGTACCGTTTGATATGTTTGCCCATATCAAAACTTTCCAAACTTATTAAGTGTCCGAAGATACGTGCCTTGCTGTATTCAACTTTATATCTTTCATCACTTATTTAATAAAATTTATTCGTTTCCATATTATAATAATATGGAATATGAAATTATGATGCTTAACGCGTGGAATAATGTGTAGAAGCCATATGGGGCGTTTGGACCACGCAGAAAAAGAGAAAATCCATTGACTCTCCACTCCACTCTCACTCTCACTCCAACCATCTTCATATTCCTCCCATTTCCATTTATGCAAAACACAAGCATCGATTTCATCTCATTTCCATTTATGGTATATAGTATAAATAATATGCTATTTACCTTTTTTATCCATTTGAGTCGAGAGAGGTAAATTTTATTCTACCACTCTACTCCGCAATCCTGGTTTATCCTTTTAGCTAAGGTACTTTTAATATGAGAAAAAAGTTGTCACCCCTTTAGGGTTAAACTTACCCACTTAGGGTACCCTTCAGTTTGAAAAAGTAGTGTTTTTGTAAAGTTGCATTCACATGATGATGAGGCATTCTTTATTGGATTAAAGAAAAGCATGTGAAAATGATTTTGATGGGTTTTAGCCAACCGCATTCCTTCAATCAAATTATATTTTAATGCAATTTGTTTTAGCATCCAAGGGCTCTTCGGCTTCTATTTCAAGTGACAATGCCACCAACAAAACAAACTCTGTTTGGTATATGGTATCAGATATATAAAACAACACACAATTTGCTTATGTTTTTAATGCTAAATGCATAAATCATTCTAGGGATTGTTTATTCAATTTTGGGAATAGGGGTGAAGCAGACAAATTAGATTCACAGCCGAAAGACTCTCTAAGACTTCTTTAACTTTATTATACATTTTTTTTTAATTATTGCATTCAAATGAATAATAATTATAATTACAATCAATTTTAGCAACAGTCAATTGTACGAAATTAATTATTGAAACAGTTTAATTTTCGATTCCGTTTCAAATACACATTTAATATCAGTACAAATGCCGTTATAATCTCGATGTTACTTCAGTGAAATAATGTTGTTCACATAGTTACGAACACACACACACACACAAGTCGACCAAAAAGTTAGTTTGTAACAAATTCTATGATAAATTTATATACATCTAAATTAAAAATTATGTATATTTTTTTCGTTAATTATTTTTTGAATAAACTTTCTTAGTTAAAAGATGTCGAAATTATCCACATTAGATGAAAACATTATTGACGGCAAGAACAATTTAGAAAAATAAATAAATATAAGACATATTTACTTTCATAAACTAAATTAAGCACTTTTTCTGACTGGTTTAACTCAATAGGTTTAACATGTGCCTGAATTGTTATAAACTTTTCTGTTTCAAATTATTTTATTTTAAAAACATTTAATTATTGATATTTAAACTTTTATATTGAAATTATTTATTTACATATTTTTACGTTAAAATTTGCTTTAAAATCAAAGCACTTTAAATACACAATATTTGGCAATGACTGATTGCTTTAATTTAATATTCTTAAAAAACACTGATAAAAATAATATTGGAAATATGATAAATATATTTCTTAATTACTCTTCCCTTAAATTCATTTTTTTAATTAATCATCTTAAATATTTTACTTTGATATTTTAATACCTGTGTTTTAATCTGACTTGAATTACTTGTGCATATATATCTCATGATTTCATTTCTTCTTCTTAATTTCTAAGTTTTAAATTTGATACCCCACCATCAAATTACAGGTACAAATAATAAAAAAATGATAAAGAAAAAAACTGGTAACAACTAGTCAAAACTAAATAAAAAGATTCCGCGAAAAATAGCTTAAACTGTTTTAGAAAGAAAGTATACTCTTAAATTTATTAAAAAAAATAAAGGCTCAGATACACATAAGTTATTTTAATTTAATTGCTTGATAATTTTTTTATCCCGCAAAATGTATAATAGGATATTCTTATTTCAGTTTAATTTCATTCAAAAAAATTTATATTAGTTTATTTCTTACAATATTAATTTTAGAATAAGGTTTAATTATTAGTGAGTCAACTAAATAAAAAAATGTTAGGTTAGTAAAATAATATTTTAATTAATAAAAATAATATAATTTTTATTATTTTAATATTATTTTATATTAATCACAATAACATGATGCATAAAATAATAACACATTACTTATTCAAAGAAAAATTAAATAGTAAAAACTTAATTGAAAAGTATAAATTTGAGTACCTAATAGATAAAATAATAATAATAAAAATTTAATTAAAAATAAATAAATTTACAAAAAATATTTAAATGTAATTAAATCTTTTATTTTATTTTTTTATTAAAAATGACGTTACCTGATTGAATTAACCGTATCCAGTGGTCCGTATCCAGTGGTCTACTCTAGATAGTTTGCATCGTCTTGGATGGAGTCCAACCCATGAATTGGACTCAACCAAGGATCCGATGGGTTTTGCTATTCTCATCTTAATTTTACTTTCTTAAATCCACCTTCAACTTTTTGGGCTAGTGCTGAAAACATATATTTCCATTGTGAAAGACAATAAAATTTATGAGATATGTTTGGAATATTCATAAAAATATATTTTTTGGATGAACATAGTGAACCTATTTTTAAAAGTACCAGTGAGAGAAGGAAAAAAAAAAAAGGTAAACATTTGCTTAAAGAATTTGATCTTTTTCTATTAGCATACTAACCAAGTACCAATATGAAAAAAAAAGTGGAACATGTTTCTTGTTGAGAATTTAAGATTGGATTTAAGTTTCATTATGTTAAGCATTATCAGAAATTTTTTATTTTAAAATATAAAATTTAAAGTATTAAATTTTTATGTGATTGGATTTGGATGTCATTGATATTATATATATATTTTTTAATACTCTCTTAAATCTTCCTCTCATAGAACGTCACTCTTAAGTCGGAAGTCACTCACGGAACGTGATATAAGACAGAAACATAGGAAGACGGAAAAAGAAAAAAGAAAGAAGAAAGTAATTAATATCCGATGTGGTTTGTCTGAAAAGCATAAAAGGTTTTAATTGGCTTGCTCATTTTGTCTTGTTTTATTACTGCAGTATGGTCCATCTGATTTTGTCCCTAACCACCCATTGCATTAGAACACAACTTGCTAAAGAAGAGTCTAATGTAATGATAGATAGAAGAGAAAAGCAAAGACAGAGAGAAGCGTGTGGAAATTTAGGACCTATAAACTCATTCACCAAGAAAAATGGTTACATGGACGATCATGCTCTTCGAAAGTAACGCAAGATTATTTAATTTGGAAATTTTGTATGAATTTCGCAAGCAATGAATGTTAGAGTGTGGACCATGATCTTGATTGTAATGGATGCCTCTAGATGAAGGACTATAGCAGACAATTTTTTCAACAAACACTTCAGGATTTTAGGTCTCTTCTTTCCAACTTTGGGTCCTAACAGAGGCCATTTAAAATTTGGCCACTGTAAGTAAATAAATAATAACATTTTCATGTACATGATAGGGTGAATGATATGTGGAGCGATAAAATTCGAGTACAGAGTAAAGAATTTTAATTAAAGATAAGAATTTTAATTAAAGAAAATATAAGAATTTTAATTAAAGGTAAGTGAGATATACACATTAAAGAAAAATATAAAAACTTAGAAAATAGAATATTAAAATTGATAAGTGTTTTAAAGTAATGAGATCGATTATTTAAATGATAAAATAATTCAATAACATAAATATAATTTTATAAACAGTCTTATTATACAAAAAAACTCATCATCTCTTTAAAATTCATTGTTTGAGTTGTCTCTCTCTTCTCTCTAATGCTTTATCCACATTTTCACTGTTAATGAAGTTTTGCGAGCAAGGAATTGAATTTAGTTTCGGGTTCATTTTAAAAAGAAATGCAAAAGACTATTTAGAAGAGATTTGTGGGATTAATAACTTTTCCAACACCTGCAAATGTACTGAGATTTGAAGGGACGAAGTGTAAAAAGTCTTATTAGTCCTATAGTTATTATATAATTCCAACTACCATTTTTTATTTTCCAGGTTACATATTTTTACCATAAAAAGTTATGTACATGATAATGTAAAGGATTCACACAAGAATTAATAATAGTAATTAATAATAGGTTTAAACCCTCGATGGTTCTCTTATTTGTATGAGAATCTCAAGATATTTTCAACTGTCTCAATTGGATCCATATATTTGCAAATTGTCTCAATTGGGTCCAAATATTTGAAAAATTAAGCCAATTAAGTCATGTCCGTTAAGTTTTCACAAACGACGTTAAATGTGTTGAGGTGGAAATACTGATATGGATAATATATGTTGTAGTGATGACATGGAATTTAATAAATTAAAAAAAATAGAATCATGATGCTCTCTTAATTTCCTTTTAATAAATAATATTTTTTTGATGCAAAATCCTAATTGGATACATTAGGATGAAAACCTTTGATCAAGCCCTACATTTTAATATCCTAAGCAGAATTTTTCTCCCAGCCTTGGGTTTCCTTTCTCGCGAGCCTTAGTATCCTTCATTTTTTTCCTCTTGGCGAGGCACGACGAGGTCGCGGCGAGGGCGTCCTGCAGCGGTGCCGTTTCCACGAGGGTTTAAAACTCCACCTTCTTTCTTCCCCTTTTCTCGCGGGCAACCAACCTAGAGGGATCATCGATGACACTGCGATGTCGGCGAGAGCGCATCGATGGTGCGATAAAGACGCGATGTTCTCTTCGTGGCGGTGTGTGCTGTGATGGCTGCTTTTCGCTGTCTAGTGGAGGCTCTTGTGACGGCCCTCAAAGC